CCATTCTTCCCTCCCCCCGCCCTCCCACCCAACCTCCCCTCCTCACCAAAGCTGTAAAGTTTGTTTTCAATATAACAACTTGTATATCTCATTGTTGCAATGTTTGTTTGTTTTTTAAGTAACATGGGAACTTTTTTGATTCTTTGATTTGGTGCTGAAAGGTAAGAAACACAATTTGCGTTTGGTTGAATACAACAATTATTTTGCTAAATCCAACTTCTCAGAATTAAAATTATATGTCAAATGTTGTGGTAAGGGATTCCATGCATGGGCATATTTACTCATTTCAAAAGTCTGAAGCTACACTATGCTATATGTCCCAATTTCTGGACAGGAAAACATTACATAATCAAAATAAGACTTCTTATTCAGCAGGTTATGTAAGCAGCTTAGCAGAACATCCCATAATGTCATTTTTCCACTGAGCCTGGCCTGATAGGGCTTCGGTCAGCGAGAAGGTTCTTCCAAGAACAGAAGCAGAAAGAAATAAGAAGGAAAAGAGGCCAATTCTAAATCATGGTTTTGAAATCATATTTACAGTACCAAAAGAAACATGATGTAAGACTTAGGTATTTAGTGCTGCTTTTCCAGGCTGCTAGAGTAGGTTTCCTTAACTTTTCTAATATCCATACTTGTTAACCTCGGCCATTCTATTTAAATTGTCTCGTTGCTATCTCTCTATGGCTAAAGAAGGGTCATGTTTACGATATCAAAATCTTGTCTGGCCACAGTGTGAGCCCCATCACAGCTTTGGTTATGATTACCATTGATTGGTAGACAAATGTTAACTGATTTATGGGGCCAAAATGACGATATTTTTAGCCCACATTGACAAATATTTTTGAAGGTTTACTATGTTGCCAAGCAATTGTGCCAGGCACAAAGGTTAAAAGGTATTTAAAATATAATTTCTACCTTCAAAGAGTTCTACCCAGCTTGAAAAACACATAAATCAATAACCCTAATGCACTATCATAAACGTGCTTTATATGTAAAAGCATGCTTAAAGTGTTCACACTGACAAGAAAAGGACAGTTCTGGGTCTCCTAGTATGCAATGACTTGTTTATAGATTAATATTTAAGATTTACATAGTGCTTTCTAAGCTCAGAATTGTGTTAAAGTAATGGGGTGCATAATTCTACATTTAAAATGGAGCATGAAATAATTGTAGCCCTTGATGGAGAACTACCCAGAATTCACTAAAATACTGAAGCTACCAAAGACTAGAGAACATGGCTGTCATCTCCCCATAGACAACACACATCTGTGAGGGCTTGCTGCATATGAGATACTCCAGCAGCCATCATGGTGCAATAACCAGGGCTTGGAAAAGAAAACTTCGTAAACAACTATCAAGCAGAATATTTATATTTTATAATGAGAAGTGGCTCAGGAAAGCATTTATTCTAACTCTCAAATTTTACAGAAAAGGAAACAGAGGACTAGTAGTAATATATATATGTATATGTATATATATATATATAGTGAGATTTATGTATCTATAAGCACACAATGGAGTATTATTTAGTCAAGAAGAAAAAGAAATTGTATATTTTCAGAGAAGTAGAACAATCTGGAAATCAACGTATCGAGTGAATTAAGCCAGGTTCAGAAGGATAATGGCCATATGTTTTTTCTCATATATGGGTGATAAACCTAAAATAAATACATATGTGAACACATATAGTAATATGCGTGTATACACACACTAACATTAGCATACATTAGCAGAAATGCATATTAGAAAGTTGAAACATGTCTTGTCTGGAGTGTATGTACAAGTGGAAAGGATGAGACTAACCAAAAAGAAGATGAAGGGTGAGGACAGTCAAAATACTTTATGCACACATGTCAAGATGGAACGAGGAAATGTGCCAAGACTGGTTTGAGAAGGGAGCGGAGAGAAAAGGTGACTCTGATCAAGATTAATTGTATGCACAAATGGACATATTAAAATGAAATCCTCTTATACAGCTAATTGCTGCCAATATTTTTTCCAAATGTCTTAAATGTAATCAATGATTGGGAGCAGAAGACTAGTAGAGAATTACGTCGATGAATTCTAGAGGTAGATAGTTTGGGCTCACTGCCATTCATTTTCCTCATCTGTAAAATATAAATAATAGTACTAAGGCATGTGCAATAAAAAAATAAGAGAATACTTATAAAATCACTAAGATTAAGAGGAGACAATAGAAACAAAAAAACTTCGTAAGTGCTTATTTTAGAATTTTTTTTGTGAAAATACCATACGGAGGAGTTACAATTACATGGGCAAGGTAATGCGTACATTTTTTATCAATCATTGTTGCTTTCTCCTTTGTTTCACCTTCCTATCTTTTCCCATATTTTAGAATTTTTATGTCTTAATTCCTGCACAGATGGTCTTTCTATCACAACAAGAAGAAGGACTTGGAGTTTTGTCCATTGCTGTTTGATATAGAAAGATATCTCTTCTCTAGATCTGAATGCTCACCTGGTATTCTTGTTCCTCTTTATATCTTTTCTTTCAGGGCCAAGGAGATTAAGATCAAGTTGGGAATTCTCCTCCAGAAGCCTGACTCAGTTGTTGATCTTGTCATTCCTTATAATGAGAAGCCAGAGAAGCCAACCAAGACCCAAAAGTGAGTCATGATTGGATTCCACTCATTTTCTTCCAGATGACAACCATTCCTTAAGTGGATAGCACCACACCTGTCTATAGAACTATCCCCTTCAATTCTTCATTGAAGATCACAAGAGTCCTTGGAGAGTTGGTTTGTAAATAAGCAGGCTTTGAAACACCACTGGTTCCATGTCAGGGAGCATAATATTGAACACTGGTAGAATTTTTGTAAAAAAAAAGACCTGCCTTTTCTTTTAAAATTGGACCCTATCTCACAAAATAGCATCAGATATCCCTCAGTTATTTAGCATACAACATGTGATCATATGCAGTGTTAGGTAACTGTCAGTTAGGAAACTTCCCTGATCCCATTATGACCTGCACACAGCCTCCTGCTAAGGAGTATCCAAGGCTCTTCCTCAGTATGTTGACACAGACAAAGACATGTCCTCATAAAGCTGTATTAGGCTATTTAATAGTTTCTTCCAAAGGTCCATCTGAGGAAAGATAGACTGTTACTTCTGGGAAAAATGAATACTTGTACTATTTCTACTTAATGTATATCATATATTTTCCCCAATTTATAAGTTAATATTCCTGATAAGATTTTTTTGTCTTCCCTCTCTTATTCCCCACCATTGCAACCTCCACATCTCTGTTTAACTTGGTCATGGTAGGTAACATGAACAGAAATAGAAATATATAATATAGCACATATGATACTGGCACTATGTATATTATGTACTATATATCTACTGTGTAGTACATATATTACATAATCTATCATAGGGTACACAATATAATATATATATATATGGCTATATATGTATACACATATATATGTACCATATATATGATACATATAATAGATCATATATCATACATATAATATATCATAATATGTATTTATATATGATACCTATCATATGATATATCCATATAGATCTATAGTGATAGATCTCTCTATATATAGATCTTTATCTGTATAGACATATGATGATGACATATATGTGTATCTATATCTATCTATCAATCTGTCAGTCTATCTATCTATCTATCTATCTATCTATCTATCTATCTATCTATCTATCTATATGCCAGTACCAGGGCTTGAACTCAAAGTCTCCCATTCTTGCTCAGCTTTCTTGCTTTACCACTTACTTGAACCACACCTCTAGTCTGGTTCTTTGCTGGTTCATTGGAGATGGAGTTCATAGCTTTGAACCACAACCCTTCAGTTCTCAGCCTCTTTAATAGCTAGGATCACAGGCATAAGTTACTAGTATCTGGCAGGAAGCTATGGTTCTAAAGTCTGTATGTTATGTCAGTGAATCTAGATCTCACAGTTTAAATGGGCCCCTCATTTGCCTGTTCATCTTCCTTCTAGAGCCATCTAGATCATTCCTGTCTAAATAGATCCTCTTCATCTTCCCTTCAAAAAGTATAGTTACACGCAGAATTCAAGAACGGAAAGATGGAAAAGGAAAAGCCAATGTAATAATAACTTTTCTATGCCTCCTGCAAGTTTTGATATCACAGAAACATAGGAAAATACAGGAAACTCTGACTTCCATTTCTCATTTTAAATTTAACATTTGTAGAAAGTGGCTAACCCATCTTTTGCCCAAATGACCTTCAACTTAATATAGCTGACTTGGTTGGCAGATAAAGAAATGCCTTATGCTTTAAAAAAAAATCCTAAGTGGATATTTCCCTTCTCTTTTCATTACTTCAAAGTGATCTCAAAATGGAAGTGGGGCATAATTGGGTTTATTGCTCTGCAAAATTTTTTTAAAAAAGGATAGTTAATTCAATGGAAAGCATGAGGCTCAGAGTACTTATGGAGAGTAAGAATGACATTTCTTAGTAGGAACAGATCAAAAGGTCTACTTTGAAGGAAATAGTTTGGTAATTGTTGACTAGTGGAATAATTTTTTAAAAAATATAGTCCTACATTTCCTATTTTGATTCTGCAGGTTAATGTCCCACATAAACACTTGTACTATTTGGCTAAATAGATTCAGAAGCAAACTTGTGCTGCCCTTATTGGGTTATTTACCTCTCTTGCCTTCCATCCAATTTCTCCTTCTGAAAATTTGATTTATTTCCGGAAAGATGTTCCCATCCCTAAAGAATCTCCTTCCTTTTTCTCTCTGTTGTTTACTATAATTTTTACAGTGACTACTAAGTGTTTCACTCTCTTCCAAATCCATAACCCCCAACTCTTCCAAATCCCCAAACCTTCATGTTGGGCAAATTTCTTTGACTTTTATCTAGCAAGGAGAATTTGGCTTTTGTTTTGCTTTTCTAGAAGGACAGAAGAAGATTTACAACATACTATATAGCACATACCAACTATCTAAAGGTGATGAAGGAGGTCTTCCCTCCAGTGGACATGTTTCTGATCTGAACACAAATGGGGACCCTGGCTGACCCCACCAGTGAGTCAAGACCAGAAGAGTCTCTCGAGAACTCTAACATATCATGATAAAAATTTTTCCTACATGAACTCCATCAACTTTTATTTTCTCATCATTTTCTATCATTCCTTTTTAAAATCTACCTGTATTCTCTCAGAGGAAAAATTAACCCTCTGGGCTGAAAGTGTTCTTAATCTTGCTTACCTTTCTTATTTTTTAGGAAACATTTCAGTTGCTTAATATATTTTCAATTCTTGATTGATTAAAAAGAAAGTAGGAGAAAAAATGAGGGAAAGGGTAACAAGTTTGACAAGAAATGTACTTATTACTATACTTATGTAACTGTAACTCCTCTGTAGTTCACCTTAAGAATAAAAAAAATAGTCAGTATAATTTGTGGAGAGGAAGGGGAAAAACAAGTCCTTTAAATAAGGATACAGGTGGACCCGTTGCAGCAATGAGAAGTACAAGTTGTCATGCCGAAAATGAACTTTACAACTTTGGTGGGGGGGAGGATTGAGTAGGGGGCAGAGGGAGGCTGGGAAGGGATGTGAAGGGTAAACAAAGGAGGAGGCTGCAATGCTTGATAGGAAATGTACTCATTATCTTGCCCATGTAATTGTAACCCCTCTGTACAGTAAGTTCACAATAAAAAAACTAAAAAAAAAAAATTGAATCATTGGGAAATTTAAAAAAACAAGAACAAAGTCAAGAAAACAACAATTGCTGATATTTCTGTACCAAACTCCAGCTTCGGTTACAAATTTACTAGTTTGAACAACTCTTCAGCTGATATTCCTATACCAAACTCCAGCTTTGGTTTCAGATTTACTAGTTTGAACAACACTTTTTCCTCAGATCTTGTCTTCTTCACTTGGAGCAAACAAGTACCCTTCCCTATTTCACTATCTCTGCTCTCCAGCCCCTTGGCATATAACATTCACTTCTCAGAGAACTCTCAAAGTCTATATGTACTTCTAACATTTTCTTTGTCTTCTCATTAGGCTTTAAACTCCTCCTCTGCCCCGATCTACCTCTCTCCCTCCTCCTCTTCCTCCTAGGCCCCTTTTCTGATTTGTCTGCAGCTCACTAGCTATCTCCTTGTTAAAATTCTCTAAGTGCTTCCCCCCCACACACACACCAAGGCTCTGTGGCAGGTCATCAAAATGAACAATAAATAAAATTAGTAAGCCACGTAAGTTTAGTTTGTGATAAGAGTTAGGTATTGGTACACACATGTAATCCCACCTACTCAGGAGAGAAGGCATGAGTAAGATCATAGCCCAGGCTAGAGTTGGCAAGAAATATCTGAGACCCTCTTTAAAATTTAACCAAATTTTAAAAAATGAGGAGGAGGCATGGCTCAAATGGTAGAATACTCACCTAGGAAATGCAAGATCCTGAATTTAATCCCCAGTAACACAAAATTTAAAAGAGAAGGAAAAAAAACAAAATCAATATCAAAGCCACGCCAAACAAACAAAAATCCCACTTCTGGCACATAGAATAGTTAAGACACTTTGCATGGTTACAGTCCATGCATGGAATTGACAGCAAGAGAGCAGGTGCAGTCATGGTTCATAGGACTCATTGTTTAAATATAAGTTAATCTTCTTCTGTGGCTTTCAATAGCCAGACAAACTTTGGGTGAAATGAGACAGCATGCACTCATTTATAAATTTGACACATCTACATTTATTGGAGGCTGTCTATCCTGCAGTGAGTTTTGCTCAGGATCAATCTCAAGTCCATTAGCATTTACTGAGCCCTTATCCCATGGCCAGTACTGACCTGGAAATCATGGGTGGGTGATAGATGGAGAAACAAGAAAACTGTTGCATATATATGGACTCACAATTGCACATACATCTTTATCATCACAACAGAGGTCACTTATTCAGATGCCACTGTGGGGGGACAAGCCACGGGATAGGGTGGGATGGGAAGGGGTCTCTATGGATGATGTGCTATAGTTTTCCAGCAGCAAGGACACCATTGTCATACCGGGAGTTTAGGCAAGTAAAATATGGTCAGAATGGTGAAAGGAGAGGAGAGCTGCCAGCACCACGTACTATGGTCATTTCCCAACCAGATAGCATTTACACTGGGCACTATAAAACACACAGTTAATCATTCCTATAAATGCTTATTTGTCCTGTCATTTGGAGTAGCTTCCTCTCCCTCAGTCCACACAGTGACTTTGTGCTTACTCTCTCTGTGGTGAGCTGGGACCTTGCAAGCCAGGATGCTTTATTGGTCATTTAGAGATCTGCATCTATCTTGTTCCCAAAGAAGTCAGACTTAATGAGGGCTGACAAATTCTGAGAATCAGGACAGGATGAACTGTTACCTCCTAGGCTGGTCATCAGGACACTGGGATGCAAGCTGTGGGAGATATGTCATGTTTGACTAGGACCTTAAATCCATTTGGACTGATTTCACCCCCAGGCATACCCTCTGCACATGTCCTTTTCAGGAATTTAATCTTGGCTGTGATGCTACTAATATTGACCTGGTTCTAACAAGACCATTTGGGATAAAGGAGATCTGGTAATAAAGTTTGGTGCACCTCCCCATGACATTATTTCTTCCTGAACTCCTTTATATTAGCCAGAAGAAGATGAAGGCCAAAGGTGATTGCATTCTGGGAGAATATTTATAAAATCAGATGATTCAGTGAGTCAACTCCCTTTGGTCTGAGCCAGTTGTTTTTGTTCAGTAATTCAATGTTTGATGCTTCTGCAAACAACTAGACTTGGTAGATGTCTATTTTATGGGAAATGATGAACCCACAGTGAACAAATTAAAGAGTATATGGCCTTATGTTGAATATGTAGGTCTGAAGTGACATATCCATAGAGAAAGTTCTTGGTATAAAGCAATATAGAAGAGTCAGAAGGAGTTATTGACTTCTAGAAAATTTATCCTTTTTATAGTATAGAGGCACACTTCAACCATGTCTCATGTCACTTTTCCTCCCCATGTCCCTTCCCATGAACAGAAGTGAAGGGAGCTCACTTGTGAAAAATAAACTTCCAGGGAATTAGTGTGTTTTCAATCTATTATATTTGTCTTTATAGCCTGGAAAATAGAAAATACCTCAGGTAATTTCACAAGGGTTGTTACTGTCATTTTTGTCAAGTATAAGTTTCAAAGAGTGAACACATAAAACATGATGAAAAAAATCACATGATTTAAGGTTCACACTCTGTACATTGCAATGAGGAACGGAAAAGTTAGGAAATAATCACGGTGCTTTTAGCCAAGAAATTCACTGCTGCTTTAGACTCCTTACACAGACAGAATGAGGCGGAATCTGAACCAGTAACATGAAAAATGAAATGATTTTTATATTGATCTCAGATGCTGGCTTCAAACATTGAAATCCCCAAAATATCATTTCTTACAAGTCAGAAGCGAGAATTTTCCTGAAAACTGATAAAAAATTTTAGAGCTAAGGAAATTCTAATTTGCAAAAACATCCTTGTTCCCCTTCCGCTTATAATAAATGCCCTATCAGTCTATTCTGATTTGACAATGAAGAACTCACATCCTAGTACAAGAGTTCAAATAAGGTGCTCCCAGAGGGAACAAATGCAGTCAACCATCCCTAGCCCCCTCCTGCCACCACCCCTCAGGCAAAATCAGCTCACTTAGACACATCCTGCTGTGAGAAAAGGATTGGTGGTTGAAAGCAAATCACTGCTGGGTATCTGCATATATAAATGTTAAAATAAAAGCAGCAGTGTAGATATATGAAAGCAAACCTATCATCAGACCAGTTGTTAAAAAAACTTCAAATGTCCTTGTCTTGAGAATGGGTATTACTTCCACCACATAGAGAAACAAGGCCAAGGCATTGCTGTGCATGTATTTAACTCCCTACCAATGCTATCAGCGTTTTCTGTTCTTATTCTTGATTTTAGGCCCTCGCTGGATGACGCCCTGCAATGGCGTGACTCCCTGGATAAGCTCCTGCAGAACAACTGTAAGTTCACATTATTTCTTATTATGATTAGGATGGAGACAGAGACACAAAACACTTTGGTTTGGCTCATGTCTTTCTTCCTCAATTTCAACATTTCTTCCATATTTCAAATTGGCTTCAAAAAGAGAAGATTTCCATGGGTGTGCAGTTATACAGCTGGCTAGGAGAGAAAAAACAACTGTGGGAAAAAGGAAGACATACTTGCTTACTTGTGTGAGCAGAGCAAGTGGCTTGACCTGAGTGCTTGTTACAACTCTCAGCAGTAACACAGAAAAACTATGGATTGGTGAGGATTGATAGTAGCAGTACAAAGATCTCTGCACAAGTTATGGATTATATAGCTCCAACTGCTATCAGCTACTCCTGTGGCCTGACAAGAATTGTTATCTCTTGAAGTTCAGATCCTCTTCTGACAGCAGACCATATTTTTATGTTCAAAACAATATAAACGTCAGAATTCTCTTCCAAATGAAAATCAGCACAACAATGAATACTCCTTACCTTTTCCCTAACCTCAAAGCCTTACTTATTCTCATACTTATAGTACTAGTTTCAAAGGTCTCATAGTGAAGACTCACCAGGTTAACTCTGGGGCTAGTCTTCAGGAAAATTGAATTGCTGTCAGAGTGCGTAAGATTTCTACATAATCCCCTTGTACTCATTCATGTCTCTTATCTGATGAAATTCTCTCTTTCCTATAAGAGCTAACCTTCATGTCAAATGCCCAGTGTTCCATTCAGAATGAATGATTCACCCTCTGGACTTCCAGAGACCTCTGCCAGCACATTGTTCATGCTCATGGGTAGTTTTTGCATTGCCTTCTGTTTGTTGTTGTCTTCCTTCTGTGAAAGATTCCTGAGGAAGGACTGGTGGCTAATGTCACCGACCTGCACAAAAGACACTTGACCTACTTCTCTGCACATCAGTGGCTGTGTAGAACAACTATAAGTCACACTTTTGCTACTCAGTTCTTATGAGATATTTTTGTTTGGATCTGCTAAAATGAATAATGTGTATCCAGAAAGTGTCTGAGGTTAGCTGGGATTCACACAAAATAGGGAAGGAAGACAGATGCATTTGGGAAAGACATGCTTCCAGAAGTTCACA